ACATTACAGTGTACACATATATATTATGTTACATGAATGATTTACTCATTTAAACTTAAAAACTTTTTTCATTTTCTGAATTTATTTTATTTTACTTTTATTTGTATACATAGAACTTATGTTTTTAGTGGTATTGGAGTGAAAACAAATGAGCGTTGGACAATTGTTTGAATTGTGACTCATTTATTAAACGACCGAATTATAACATTAATATAAAAGTTTATCCTATCAGCAATTTAGGATAAAAAATGATAATAATGTTCATAATATGCATACTATCAGCAATGTAAGATAGTATGCATATTATTAACATTATTATAATTTTTTCTCGTAAAACAATGAGATATACAATATTATTTTACCCCAAAAACATAAATTAATAATAAACGTATATAAATTAATATCAATAAAAGTATAATTTAACTACTAAATAGTCAATATAACGGATGTACTAATTATGGTTGTACAAAATAAATGAATTTGAAATATAAATAAATGTAATAATATTATAACTATTATTACGGTTGCTATAGTTTATTGAACTATTATAAACATTACATAAATAAATATACTACACACATTAAATATAATTATAATCATATCTATATTAAATTGAAAATAAATTTTCAACTAAAAAAATATTATTGGATAGTGTAGTGCTGCTCCAAAAAGCAAAACTGTTTAGAATGGTGCAGCAGGTTTGAATTTAAAACATATATTAATTAATTAGAAGAATAACCATGTATCAATAAGATCTAACGGCGATTAAGCTCTACGTTTAATAACGCATAATACTTTTGTATTTTCCCTAATCATAGACTAACGATTAGTTAGAATTGATGGAAAATACTATAATGAGTTAAAATACAGTTATATAAAGATTGATGTTTTTCGAAACGGTAAATATGAAATCCTTGTTTGAAAAATACAACATCGCCGAAACTGGGTGAAATATCTAACCTAAGTATTTCGATTGTTATTATTCGACGACTGTTGCAACCGAAATATGTTTTGAAACTAAACATTATAAAATACCAAAATTAGTCTAAAACAGTTCGCTTTAAAAATTGATTATTTATATAGGCTTATCATATTACAGTTTTACCTCAAAAATATCTTAAGAAAATGTATAAAACAAGAAATTAGCCATGTATATTATTTATTTTATATCAACGATAATCTAAATCGTGTGATGTAAAACGCGTAGAAAATATAACTATTAAAATATTAATATAAAAAATAACGATATTTTGTATCTAGTTTTGATCTCTTATCGTAATGAAAATTGTTTGCATATTTTTTCTCGAAAAATCGGAACTTTAATTTTAAAAATTTTAGGACTTCGCTTATTACGCCTACCGGCTCCAATCACTGCGTGGCACTTTTCGGGAGGATGGGGCTTCGCCCCAAGGGGAATTATAGTCTAAGCCTAATCTAGTTTTGTACAAACCTTAATACTGTTGCAAATGGGATTACGCTCTGTATGTGAACCTAAAACCTCGCTACGCGAGTAAAACCCTGAATTGTCATTAATATATTATAGTAGTTTCCATCATAATCAAATATTGTATATCATTATTTTATATTTATTTATTTAAATGTATTATATAAATTTTTGTTTTGGGTGAAAAGGGAATCGGCCTATTTTAAATTTGGTCGAAAAGTGAATCGGCCGAAAAGGGAAGGGTATGGTTTTGGTCGAAAACGGACTCGCCCATTATTATGTATATTATAAATACGTGAACGTCACTCAACCCAGGGGTTGAATTACAAATATTTGGACGGCTTGTCGTGAAAATGTTCGATTGCGACAATGCTGAACGCAATCAATAGAGTAGAAGCTGGTTATTAGGAACACGGATAATTGATACAATCGCGTTATTGAAACAAAATATTTAGGGACGGATCGGCCGTATTTTAAAACATTTTAAATCATTAGGATTATTGTAACAACACATCGGTTATTTAAAACAATTAGGGCCAAGTTCGTCGACTAATTTCGGTTATTTGGAAATGACCAATGTATTGTAATTACAATATACTTTATTTTATGTCGTTACTATCGTTGTGAACTCTCACATCGATGTTGCAGAGATTCCAACAGAAGAAAATATCTGTAATGCAGTTATGAAATCTCAAACAATTTAACAGGCTGAAACTGACGACGAACTATAAGTGTCCTTAGTAGAGCAGTCCTGCACCGTGTGGATAAAAAAGACTTTGGGAAACAATATTGTTCTTATGAAACCGTGATCATCAAGTTACTCGACGCAAACAAACACAATGGTTCACCGAACAATATTCATACCTGTTATTATATTACACACTGATCGTGCAGTCAGACATTGAGCATGAAGTTATTTGCATAACATGTGGTAAATATTGTCATTAATTATGCCGTATTTTAGATGAACAATAATAAATTGTAATATAAATACTAATATTTATCGTTAAAATGTTTTAACTACTATAGACGAAACAATTTACTGGTTTTAGTATAACTACTGTAATAATTCATAATTTTATTGCAAAATTAATTTGAAAAACAATTACTTAAGTTCAAACTTTTAATCACGTTTGAAATCGAAAGAATAATATTTGTGTATAACTATTGCTATGAGTATTATCGTTAAAATTATTTATCTGTAATATATTGTTATATATTACATAACTAGATATATATTCTAAAAATATCATAATTTTTTTTTATGTGACGAAGGTGTCAATTATCCAAAATGGTCATTTCGTTTGTTTCATTTTCCAGACACCGTGTACTTAGCTTAAATGCGTTATTTGTTTACAATTTATTTATACATTTTAACGTTTTTATGATCCTTGATTTAACCGAAGTCACCATACCTGATAGTGAATTATAAATGTATACAAAAGAATCAATACATAATTTCCAATAAAATTAAAATGATTTCTAAGAGTGTTATTATTATTTTCAGTTAAATAATAATAATTTACGATACTCCAAGAGTATGCCTATTGGTTGCATTTATTTCGATTTAACAGCAGATGGTACGTCTTGGTTCATAAAATACATATACAATTAAATTTTTGTTGAGTTGAATCGGTTTATGAGTAGGTCCAGGCACGTATAGATTAAATTAATAAATAATTTAATATCATAAATAATAAAATATGATTCACAACTCACTTCGTACAACGGCAATCGGTCGCATATCTTGACAGACTGCCTCCGTATAGCTGTGTTATAATATTCGTATATATGGCACACTCGACATAAAGAATGTGCCATCTCAACATTTATTGCTGACTATACTAATGAATGTATATATATATATATACTTAAAACTACAATATGAATATAAACTAATACATACTAAATATACTGGCAGTATTGTTTAATTTCAACAATTTCGTTTGCAATCATCTTCCATGTGAAGCTTATAAGGGTTAGAGTTCACTGTCATTATGTCGTAAATGTGTATTATAATTTATATAGGTATGAATAAATGAGCAGTTAAGACCTTCACCTAAACAAGCAAATAAACTTACAACACCGACCCTTATTTGTCTTGTCAGTGGGCTATAAACACTACTAAAACTATTTGCGTTCATTGAAAGTTATTTTCGTATATGTAAATAATCTTAAATTAATCATTTTGTGTGGTTAAGGGTATTCACGGATAAGTGTACTCGTTTTTATCCAACGATTTCACTTAACAGCATAATATTATATCATTAGGGTCAAAAACATGTTTTCAAAAAAACTTAATCACAAACAATTATTTCAAACATTAAAAAAGATAAAGAAGAATATCTTTGTCTATAAAGTACAAAAATTGTCTCTACCTATTTATTTTATGCATTCCTAAACTACTAAATCAATTTTAATGAAATCTGGTACAGAGTTATATCAGACCTCAGAAAAGCACACATAGGCTACTTTTTGCGCCGCAAAAAAAAAAAAAAAGGAAAGGTTATTAAGGTTAAAATAGACATAAGTATATCTGATAAAGCCCGAACAAGCAGTAATTGTTTGATTGTTGCTATAACAACCGAAAAAACGATAAGGACTCACTGTTAAATACCGCAGTGTGCACCAAGAAAATGTTGAATATGTATATTTTACTGAAAATAATTACCATGAACAACAACTATCTTCTCTTCCAAAAACGACAATTCTTAAGATAACTTTTTTTGACTGTATGGCTATATTTAACATTTACTTATTACAATATATTATAAATTATTATTTTAATTTCGGGTGATTTATACTTAAAATTCATAGCTTCTATAGTGAGTAACACCCAATTGGAGTTGAACACTCATAATTTTCTTATGTAAGGCCGGGTTTTAGTCACTCATTGATCATCGCTACACATTAAAAACAACAAAATGTATGAACTTGAAAATTTGCATATTTATACAATATAGACGTGCAATAAGAAGAGGTTTTAAAAAATATTGGTGTCCAAAAAGACCATAATGGACAACCGGATAACTCAGCGTCCAACCAAAACTACCATACTGATTTATTTGAAATGTTGTTTTGTTTGTGTCCTTATCACCAGTTATACCAAATTAGGCTTTAAATTGTGTAAGGAATAATTTATTAAAAACCATGTTTCGGCCAAGTCTGTTCCGTACGAATCTGGATAATTCTGATATTTTATGTATGATATATTGGTACACATGAAAAGTATGCACGAAACACATTGCGGAATATTTAAATATTTTATAAACAACATACTATTATACGTTAATACATATAAAATATAAGTACTCATATTTTGGGAATTGTAGATAACGAAAATTTGATTTTTCACTTGAACCTCTGAAATAAGCAGTACACTATCGTAAATCCGTATTTTATGACGTGGCATTGTTATCATAACACTTGCCTGTGTATCCAATATTTTATTATTATTAAATAATATGTGATTTAAAAAATGTTTAGAACAAAATATAAAATAAAATAGAATGTAAGATTTTGTAAATATCATTATATACGTAATAACTACAATTACCTTGGGTTCTACTCTGAGTGTGATCAGCAGTGAAAATGTATTAGGAATACTAACTGAACTGAGTAAACTATATCCATTTTGACTTCCGTTGAGCTTCCCGCCAATGGCACGTACATGATCTCCCGGTGAGATCAGTTCCATAGCACCTGTACCGAAAACAATGAATACCTAGTTTAGCGTTGCATAGTGCAGATGTTGCAAAAGGAAAAAATTATATAAAAATAATAGTTTAGAGTAATAATTAAAATATTCGAATAATTTGTTAGTTTGTTATTTTGTAAATTTTGCATCTATAATTTTATATTAATTTATTACATTCAATCGATTGCTTTATTAGTTTAATTTACTGTTAAAAACATCTCTTTAGTGTGTTGCGATATCGTGTTATTTGGTAAAAACTATTTACCAAACAGTCATAATACTAGGTATTATATACTTGAATATTATAATACTAGATAACTAGGTATTGACGTCAGCTAAGGTGAGTAAGTTAATGAAAATAATTAACACAAGATCTATAAGTCAAAAATTAACAATTAACAATTCATAAATTTAACTCGATCAGTTAAAAGTTAATAAGGAAAAAAATATTAACTTAAATGTTTAAAAAAGGTTATTTATTGTTTTTTAATTAGTATGCAAATCACACGAAAAGTGACTAGGTTCTTTGAAAAGATCTAATTTCTAAAATCATAATAAACAATTTTGTTGCATTTTTTATCATAGTATACAGCAGTGGTACCAAAGTGTTTAAAAAGTACTATGACATTTTACATCAAGGAGCCGTTCACTATCACATTTATTTATCTTTATAGTTAAAATTTTTTATACAAACATTCTGTATCCACGGCCAGAACCCAATATCCAAAGGTTGTTCCCCAACCTACAAAATCTAATATGACCTCTAATGTACAGTGTAAATGACCATTTTACTTTACATTATTTAATTTTTATATTAATATTTACGTATAAGCGAGAAATTTCAACATTTTTTAACTTATTCGATAATTTTTAAATCAACTGTGAAAAGCTAAGCTATGTCAACTGCTGAATAAACTAGTTAAGTTAAATTAAAAAAAAAAAGTTAGGTTAAAAAGTTAATAAAAAAAATTAACTTTTTAACTTCATTTAAACTTTTTAACTAGTTCATGCCTACCTTCGGACGTCAGTCGTATATATTTAATTTAATTTTTTAAGCCCTTCTGCTCCAAATTTCGAAATATTAAATAATTCCAAGGTCTAAGATAATTTAAATACGTATAATGAACATGTAATAATCGTTATACCGTCGCAAGGGAAGTCGTTGCACTTTCGTATTTCCTTGTTATGGCCTTGCGTGCATTTCAGACATCGTCTGTGTCGGTACTGCAGCCCGGTATCGCATGATACGTTGCATGCCGACCAATCGCTCCAATCGCCCCATCCTATAAAAAAAAAAAAAAAAACAAAAACAAATCTGTTAGAAAATTATGTACGATACACCGGTTTCGCGTTAAATCTTTAACAGTACAGGTGTTATTAAAATTGTTCACGTTTTTGGTACGTAACTACTCAACGGATGTATTTTATATTTATTTCATATTTTAAACGATAATAGTCGTTGATGATATGTCTAATAATGAACGCAATGCTATGGCTTTTTATTGAATGTCTACAAGCATCTTTGGGTACATATTGCGATTATGCTGACGTTTTAAAACGTAATTTAAGTTATAATGTCATACAGAAATCGTATTATATCATACGACTAGAGATGGAATGTTGATGAGTTATATGAACCCACTATTGATGTACGCAATTAAATAATGATGACGCTTCAAAGGCATTTATATTTAAGTCTTAAATACACATTTGTACATGGTACTGGTAAGCTTCAAAGCTACTAACCGATCGATCAGCGTACTACTTGAAATTAAATAATATTTAATCAAAAGAGTTGAACTACCCAAGTGTCTTATAGCAATAGTTTGTGAAAATAAATACATCAAATATGTATTATAAGACCGTTCAACAGCTATTTTTATAGTACCGAAAGATTTTCAGCCGAAGATGCGTTGACGCATAAAAGTAAATTGATTCAAATCCTTGAGAGATCTTCTGAATACTCATCCACAGTATAATACGGTTTTTACGCGTGTACGCTGGTTTGTAATTTCAATTGATTAATCATGAACATTTCTTTGATTTACATTCATTTGAATATTTATCAATTTTAGAAGGAGAGCGACGGTATGAAAAAAACAAATGTTATTACATCTTATCAATCCTTTATTTAACTTACTATGCCCTGTGAACAGGACGACTCAACTTCTAAATGAAACGGAATATATTGCACTGATATTGAATTGCACAGATGGAAATAAGAGTAAGTATAGAGAGAGAAAGAGAAAGAAACTTGATGGTTTAATATAATATATGACTTTTTGCCAACAAATAAACCAATTGGATACAAACATCAAACAATATTAATAATATTACAAAAACAGCTTAAATAATAAACCATTCGTTTTTGGTGTTATCGACATACATAAATGTTGATCATTATGATTATCATTATATGGGGGTCATATATCACATAAATTATTAAAAATATCAGAACAACTCTTTATATAATTAACTGTCGGAGTGTAATAAGAATGTAAGATCAATAATATTAGACATTATTAGACCGACCTATAGTAAAAAGAAATAGTAACTAACGTTTAGAACAGCAGCGGATTCAGAGTCTGGGAACTGTGGGTCAAGCCATTTCAAGATGCCATTTATTGGGGATGAAACTGAATTAGAAATGAATACCTTGTAAAAAAACACGATATACTCATAAAAGTATAGGTATAAGTATATTTATATTACATTTTAGAATTAGTGATACCACCGATAATGACATATTTACGATTAATAAATATAATTTAATTTTATCAGCACAACAAACGTAAGGAATAAAATATGATTTACTTAACTTTCTACTAAAACGATATAATTTAAAATATAAATTATGAATTGAAAAATTTTAAATTCTGAATATACATGGCATTCATTTTTCAAGTAACTCAAATGAGCAAACTGTCTAAGAGTCCAAAAGGTCTAAAAAGAGAAAAAAATTTCCAAGAGGCCAATTTTGTCAACAAATATTAACTGTGGGTTAGCTGACCACTTGAACCCCCCCTAGATCCGTCCCTGGTTTAGAACTTCAATTAATTGTAACTTGTAGCCAGTAGGTAATTAAATATAATTAATAGAATTTAGTATAATATTATACTGTAGTCTACTATCTACGATTATAACTTATGACTAGAGTTAATGACTTAGCACTTATCGCACGTATCACTACGATTTACAAATATTTCGACTAGAACCATGGAACTTAAGTTAATAGGTCTATCGTCTATGGCTAGAATAGTTCTTTAAAATGGACAGTTATGCTTATTCTTTATAATCTCTTTTCTATGATACAACCATGTTACTTGTGTGGCCATCCTCCGTCGTTTTATTACTGTTATCACTTATCAATGTTATCTACCATTTATCAACTATCACTGATTTTTTTTTCTTTTTATACCACTTGTATTTTACTTTTTTATACATCAAGTATAATACGCCTGTATAATATGATATTATACAATATGTATTATACAATTTACATCACTGTAATTAACAAATAAGTACCAGTAATTGCAACAAATAAAATACCTTAGGGTAGAGTTAATATGCAAGCGAATATATACCACAGAATGATGTGTCATCTATTGATTTGTAGAAAAAACGATAGGAAAATATAGCGAGGCGAAAATATAACTATATAGAAAATATAGTAGGTAGTTAGCAGGTAGAGTTGGGCGCATTGAACTAATTTATTGGTAACAATTAAAATATAAAGCACACATCGTTAGCTAAATATTGTAATGGCAATGATAAGAAAACAAACTAAGAAGAGTTCGCATAAGCCCGGATCACTAATTATAAAATACACATTTACGTAAAAACCATATCTGGGTCAAGCATATTAATCTCTTGAAAGGACCACAGTCTTTTATGGCACGTTATCATGAGTCAAGTTTAGATGACCGATTATAGTTGATCAAAAAAATTGAATATAATCTGTAGTGAGAACATTTGTTCTAATAAACTTGAACAACTAATTAATTGATCAAAAAGTTTGACCCAGTCAAACTTTATCGTTCAAGTAATGAGTTGTTTTCCAATTCCTTTCAAGTTGAAACCTGGCTTGACACGTGAGAAGATAAACCTACACTACAGTTGATTCAAGTTGAACTTCATTTGTTTTCAACCAGAGGGCAGTCACATGTGCATTTTATATTTTATTTTGTCATTTGTGTTTTTTTTTTAATTTTTAACGTACTAAATATTTTTAATTTTAACCCAAAAATGACGTTTTTTACAACTTTTTCACATATTAATTAAAATAATTTTTAATTCTACTTTCACTAAAATACTTATCGTATTTATAATTTTACATACAACTGCTTTCGACTCAATTTTCAACTGTATTGATAAATGTGACAAAATAAGCTCGACAATGGGCTCGACAATGGGCTCGACTATGTATCGACCGAGTCATTACCTGTTAAACTGAGTTGAAAATAAAATTGAAACATGTTCTGTTACAATGTGTGAACAAAACTGATTCAACTTATATTCAACTTTTGTTGATCAACTATAATCGGTCAACTAAACTTGACTTATGAAAACGCGCCTTAACACAAGAACGGGGTACTAGGTAGTCCCGAACAAATCAATGTTCAGGTGTGTTACAGTCCGATCATAGCACGCACGTTCACGCCAGTATACTTGTCTAATTAAATAAATGTTTCGTACATAGGTATTCACAATAAATAACAGTTAACTTAAATTGAGTAATCATTTGGAATATCCTAACCATGGATAAGAACCGTAACCAAAAAGAACCGCTACTGAAACCGGTTAACATTTAAAATTTAAGAACCGTAACTGAAACCGGAACCTTTATTTCCAAAAATGAAAAACCGTAGCCGTAACCATAACCTTAATTATAAAAGTGTTAATTTAGGTTAGTTATTTAGATTAGTAAAACTATGGTAATGACTATTTTGTTTGTCCATTTGTCGGTTCAGAAAAATAAAAGTCAAATCTTTTTATGTTTTTATTATTTTGTGTATTTTGTGTTGTAAACTGTAATAATGTAATGCATATAATAATAATATATAAAAAGTAAATTTTTAATATTATTATTATTATTATTATTGTAATTTTATTAATATATTACAATACACAATGAGTATTTCATCTATTTTGTCTATTAAGAATTAAATATAATTGATATTTATAAAAAAATTGTAGCTACAACAGTAGTCCGTTTTAACTTTGATTCCTAAGTAAAATTAAATTTTTTATTAAAGATATTTTTTCGTCAAATCATAATATTTCACAATATTACAAAATATTTTACAAATTCTTACTATGAGTTGAAATAAAATAACTTAACCTAACTCAAAGAAATACAATAGGCTAATATATTTATAATTTTTTTTTTTTTTCTATTCATAATACCTTCTATTTTCATGAAATGAAACAATTACAATATAAACAAAAATAAATAAATAATTTCATATTACTTTTTAATAAATCACTAATAATCAGAATTAACCGAAATTAACCGGTTCTAGAACCCATAATCTTTTAAAAACCCGAAACCTAAACCGGAACCCTTAAAAAATTAATTGAACAACCAAAACCGAAACAAGAACCGAAAAAACCTGTAGGTTCCAGTCCCTGATTCTAACACACATCCTTGTCAGAACTGTTGTATCGGGGGCACACAACATTGGTATAAATCATTTTCATTTTATTTACTACATACATGTATATATATTTTATAGTTGACTATTTGTGTAAATATTTAGATGATTATACTCGGGAGCAAAAACTAAGGATGTAAAAAAATATTAATATATTCCTTCGTATTTAGCATCAGCATACAATTATAACTATGCACGAGTAATTTACTTTAAACATTAATATAATTATAATTTAATTTAAATTGTACGTTTAGTAGTTTCATTTCAATTTAATTTTTTTTTTTTTTTAGTAACATTTCTGGTAAGGTTATTTTATTATTAAATATTTTTTTTTTATAATTCTGTAATGATTAAAATGCCTTATAATTTAATAAAAACTATTGTATGAAGTAAACAATTAAAATAGGAATTGTATTAAACACAAAAATCACTACCTGTTTATAACGGTGTACTAACATGTTTTTAAGAAATGAACAAAATATATGGACGCAATTTCTTATTAATGACATAATATAATTAAAGGATTGCAGTAAGGTTGGTGAAAACGCGAATTTAGTTACAACTCTGAGGAAATTTTAATAAAAGTAATTTATTATTAAACAAAATGTGATAAATACGTAAGACGAAGT